AAACAAAAACAGAGCCAGCAGGAAACGAAGTTTGTGCAGAAGGCCAGGCAGGAAAAGCAGATTATTCAAGACTTCTTCGGTCTCTTCGAACTCCCTTCTCTTTTATCTGCCTCCGCCGGCTTCTTCTTGTCTTTCCTTTCTCTCTTCTTTAGAGCAGTCATATGAGCCTTCAATATAGTTGCATAAGAAGCTTGAAAACGCTGGTGATCCTTCTGTCCAACCTTTCCAATGAAAACCCAGTAATATAAAATATTAGAAGTGGGAACAACTTATATGAACATGAAAGTAAATGGGAAGCTAAAATAGTTAATTGGTCTCGGGTAACTCAGATGCTATCCACTTCAAAAAAAATTCTACAGAAGTTACATTAACAAAAATTCATCCTTTAGACATACTGATAACTGAAAATACTATAAATTATTATTTTCATGCCTTGATTTATATTAAGTGTAATAAAAATTTAGCAAGTATCCTTTTTATTAATGTAATCAAAATTCATCAAATATCCTTTTATTGCCTTTCATTTCCTGATAGTGTAATTGTATGAAAAATAATACTCGGTCACTGATTTTTACAGTGCAATTTGTCCTTAATTGATAAATCTCAACTAGCATCAACGAACTCCATTAATTAACAATTACATGCCAAATAATTTTTATTTTTTATTTTGGCCTAAACCATGTGGGAAATCAGCTGGGGCCAACAGGGTGACTCATTCAAGAGAAGCACCAGGAATAACTGATCACTAGAGTGTAGCACAAATAACATTAAGATCTAACAGTAAGAAATGTAGCAGAAATTAGGGTAACACATTTCACGATCTGAGAAAAGAAAACTACAAAGTTTTCCGCACAAGCAAGCTGTACTCCAAGTCTACAATGAATTAAAACAGTTGAGAAAATCCCCCAGCCTCAAATAATAACATTTCCAACTGTATTGTCCAATCCAAAAATAAAAGAGATCAAGTACTCTTCAACAGAACTGATACGAAAAGATGCTAGCAGGTACTTGACATATCTAAAGCAATATTTAATACCAGTTTTAAAAACCATAAACATTATAATTGGTTTTAATGAAATCATGTTGTCTACAATATGTTTTTGAACCAGTTTAATATCAAATATTGTTTAGTAAATCTTGGTGAACCCGTTTTGAATTTTAGATATATATATATATAGAGAAATAAGGAAAGTAGGAAGTTTGGAAAACACACCCGCAGATCTATGATATCAGAAAAGGTAACTTATAAGTTAAAACTTAGGTATAACATCTTAGGTGCTTTTGGTATCACGCTTTGGAGTTTCACCTCAATATTCACTGTTGATCTTTAACATCGACCTTTTATTGCACAGGTTACCAAGAGGAAACTCCAATTCTAATTGGAAAACAACACAAAAAACACCTAAAGTACTGCATCAAAGCTTTGTCCTAACTTATAACAGTAATAAATAAGGTCACAAAAAGAAGATGAGGAAGATAAAGTTCAAATGACTAAACCCAAGTAGCATGCTAATAATTCTCTCTCCTTCACTAATTCCCCTTTGGTGAAATCAGCCTACTCTAATCAAGCACTCTTAATCATCACAAATAGAATAGAAAAATTGCATGTGGGAATCATACTAGGAATTTAATGCCTAACAGATCAGAAGATAATCTCTGATATGTATGTATACCAACAATAAGTTTTAATGAAAAGCATAATTGAATATATATATATATACATACCGAAGTAGAAATTGTCTTTTTCCCATCAGTAGCACGTATAAGGCATCTGTACTCAATTGATTCACCAGCAGTCGCCAATTTATTCCTCTGCACCTTAGATTTCAAAGATGCTGAAAGTGGCACACAAACAAGAATCAGTTTCCAGACACATTAACACAAAACTCTCAAGCAATATAACCAAGAAGGCAACATTAACACCCACATCGTTTAAGAGTAACCCAAACAGAGCCCTTTTCAGTGCTGCGCTCAAACATGCTGGTGAGTTCATTGAGAAATGGATCTAGCTGTAGAAGAACCTAGTCAAATCGGAAAACGGCAAGTAGCTGGTGTCAGAATCATTCAAAAACATTCCTCTAGAAATTAGCAACACTCCCCATTCCCCGCACCATGATTCGGTACCTAAACTAACATAATTATAACACTCATAAATTATAGATCACGATAGCATGAGCTGAATCCTAGTCCAAATTTTCAAAAATTAAATTACCGAAATGACATTACGGTTAACCTAAGCAAATTTACGTAACTAGATGTTGAATTTTGGTATTAACACTGAGAATGATTAAAGGGACGATTATTCCCTACGACGATCTAATCTGAATTTAAAATACGCGGCGGATGAAATCGGAGAAAGCGAATGAAAGAACGCAGAAAAAGTACGGAAATGGAATTAAGAGTAGTGGTTACCATGGTTGAGATACAGAGCTTTTGGGTGCTGAAAACGCAGTCGTCGTCGTTTAGGTTGAGTTGAAGAGGAAAAGGCAGAAGAAATTACCAAAAGACAAGAGTGAGAACGAGTTAAACAGGTTGACTACTCTCAACTGAGAGCCCAAGGCCCAAACCTCAAACCCCAGAGCCCAAATGATTAACTATACTATTTCATGACAAGGGCCCAACAAAATTGCTAGAGAGATTTTAGATATTACCAAACAACTTAGAAGACTTTAGCTTTTGGAAAAATTAAATGTAAAAAAATGATTTTATTAATTTGTAGATGAAAAAAATTATAATAATGTATTTTACTCGATTAATTATACGCATTGCTCGATTAGTTTTGAGAAGAAGAAAAATTTATGAAACTGTTCACAGTATTACACAAACCACATAATTTAACGATTTCAAGATGAGTTATGCACATTTGCATTAAATGTTTAGAAGGAAAGAAATATATATCATATAATAATCTTACCTAACTCCAACAATATTATTTTTGTTACAAGATACACATAATCACTAAAAAAATAAATCATATAATTCTACTTCATCCCTAACTTAACTTTCATTGTACACAATAGGTTAAGAATAATCACAAAAATAATTTCAAGGGAAAATTTTAAAAATAACTTAATATAGTTTTTTTTCCTAGTTAGTAAAGTAATGTATATGGATTTTATTAGACAAGAAATTCATAAATGATAACAATTTATAATTAGATAATAGATACAAAAATATACTACCAATATATTATAGTTAAATTTAAAGAACATATTAATACCACTCTCTTTTTAAATATTCATCACTAAAAAAAAAAAAAAAATTCCTGTGACATGTGGGACAGAAATATCCGAGACATTTAACAACAATTATTTAGTTACACAATTATTAAGCAATAATTTTATTTTTTTAATATAGATGTCTTTTTACACCATTAAATATTACAAGTACTTATATAAATGTGGCACTAGAATATATTCACTTGAAAAAAATAAATTGTCCTGCATATCTCTTGGTCTACTCTATTATTTTGAAATCCATGTTGTTCTATTAAATTAAATAAAGGTTGAAATATTTGTTTAGTTCTTATAAGTATTATTTATTTTATATTTTAATTTTTATATTTATCTTTTTTAACCTTTTTTAATTTTTATAATTTAAAATATAATTTTTTTATTTTTATATTTGTAATTATTTAATATTTTAATTAATATTGTTAAATTATTTTAATATTATCTCTTTTGTATTGACGGGACAAGAGTATTAATTTTATTTTTGTATGTTTGATTTTATTTTATTTTTAAATTATTCTAAATTAAATAATTTGATATTTCGTATTTTTTTTTCTCACTTATTAGTACTAATTATTGATATACTTTTTTTTATTCTCACAAAATTAAATAACTCTTTATTATATCCACACAAAATAAATAATATTATAAAAAAATAATAATAAACTAAAAAAATTAAAATTATAAGTATAGAGACCTAAAAAAATATATTTTTAATTATAATAAGTAAAAAAGAATTGAAAGAGACTAAAAATTTTATTTTAAATTATTAGGACTAAAACAATGATGGAAATAAAAAAATATTTTAAGTTTGAATAAATAACTAGTGACTTAGTTTATACGGGTGAAATTAGAAAAATGAAGAAAACAGGGGAGGGGAGTGACATTATCAAAAAGAAAGGATGTGGTGAAGGTGGAACCACACTTGAGGTTGGAGCATTTTACTAAACAAGAGAAGAAGGAATGAAAATGTTGGTGCAAACTCAATTCCTCTCTTCGGTTCAACACAGTGTTATCCTCTTCTCTTCCACGCAACCTACCCTTTCCTTCACTGTCAAATCGCAAAAGGGTTCTGAAACCTCATCGGATGATGATTCGGGTTCCACAAAGACTGGGGTGGGGTTTGGGTCATCGGAGACAGGTGGTGGTGGTGGTGGTGCAAACAGTAAAAGGAAACAAAAGCAGAAACAGAAGGGGCAGAGAGAAAGGGCTTCCATAATTCGAAGAACCCCGCTTGAAAAACCCGCTTTTGTTTCGGAGCAACAAGTGAGCAACGCTAAGGAAGAGAGCAAAAATGAAAGCGCTTTTCTTCTTGCGTGGCTCGGTTTTGGCCTCGTTATACTCGTTGAGGGCATTGGTCTTGCAGCATCTGGTTTCTCTCTCTATTCCTTTTTTTTTACTCACTCTTATAAATTGTATTTCTTAATTTGAATGTTATCTTAAAATTAAAAAAAATCGCACTGTCTCTTACGGAAATTAGGCACCACTTCATAGTGAGATACTTTGTACATATGATGATTATCTAAAAAGTTAAAAAAAATAATAATAATAATAATAATATGATATCACATTACTTATTTCAAAGACAAATGCTTACACTTGAATTTATTATGAAATGTTTTTAATGTATGATGATGTATCTCTACTATAATCTCTTGTACTTTTTTAAAATGATTTTGGATTAAAAAAAAAAATCATTCACTCTCTATTTATTTTTAACCTTATCAAGACTATTTAAAGACAAACAGTGAGTATTAGAAGCTTCAACCTGTCAAATTGAATTCACCAACGGTGTAACAGATAGGATTAGTCTCTCACATTGTGTAATAGATAGGGTTAATTAGTCTCTCCCAATGTGGCTAGGCTAACTAAAATTTGAATGTAGGTACTTACATTTAGTGTTCCACAATGTCCTGAACAGAATTGTAACAGTGAGAAACTTTAGAAGAAAAAAAACTGTCAAATTAGCACTGACCAATTTCCTGCTTACCACGTTAATTTGGCATTGGTGGGGGGAAATCTGAGACTGCAATACTCTACTATCTCGTAACCTGCCTTTAGGAAATCCCACAGCATTAAAATCACCGCCGTGCACAAATAAGGGTCACAGAACTCACATAGGAAACTCAACTACACCCAAAACACCAATCTTAACGTTGATCTTGTGGAATCATAGACAAAATTAGGATAATGGAAGCTGTAAGCTGTCTTCTGGAATGGTTCAACCAAGGAGGTGGCACCTAGCCATGAGCCTTCTTGAGGTTCAAGAATTCTGACCTAATAAGCGGCTTGGTGGGTTCTGGGATAAAATATGCTATCAAGTTTCAAGAAATATCAGGCCTTGAAATGAGGAAACTTCATGACAGCCCTAAACAAGGTGCAAATCCCATAGTAAAGTTGAGCATAAGATCACCATTAATGACAATGATTCATATTAGAAGATCCAAATCTATCTTGCTCTGCTTAGCATGAGGCAAAGCATGTAACCCGTACCCAAGGAAGGCAACGTGAGATTTCCCCACATCACCTCATCATGGTGGCCATCAGAGATATCCATATGTTCATTGCTAAACTGCACGTACCAGATTCCCATTCTATCACATCCACACACACTTCACGAGTTTACAAATCTTGGTCTAATTTCTTTACTAGTTTCATATCACCACTCCCTAATCCATTCCAAAACACTGATCATGCAAAATTTGAAATCGAAATTGAGAAAGTCCCATGACAAGGATGCCCAAGGCTTTTGTTTTGTCAATTGATGTGATAATGTGTGAGCCAGGATATGTAGTTTAAATGCAATATGGCAAACCTCTTTCTATAACATATTTATGTAACGCATGAAAATTTATGCAACTGTCGTTTTTTTTTTTTGAAATATTGTGACTGACTTTTTAATCTCTACTTGCAGGCTTCTTACCAGAACAGTGGGACCAGCTTTTTGTCAAGTATCTCTATCCATCGTTTACCCCTACAGTTTTCTTGTTTGTTGCCGGAGCAGTTGCATATGGAGTGTTTAAGTATTTGCAGAATGAAAAAATCACAGAGCAGAAGTAATGTGACAGTTTTAGTGTCAAAAACCCGTTGCCCTACTGGGTAAAATTAAAAATGAGGGTGACTGCAATCGTACTATGGCTTCACTTTCATTCTATTCCCCTTTGCTATTATAGGAATGAAAGTTGACAAATATGACAAGCCCCTTTAAGAACCATTTCTGTTGGATCACTAGTAACAACACAACAGTGTATCATATGGTCAAGTTACACAGGTTTTCGAAATGGCTTCATTCCTTGTAATTAAGTCTCTTTTTTGCTATGAAACTTACTTTCTATCTTAACATGGTCATGTTTGGATTTTGAACATCTCTCGGGTAGGTTTCCTTGCCAAACTCTAGTCTAGTACGTGGTTCTTTAAATCAATTTTCCTCCTAGTTATTGGAATTTGTCTTGAAAAAGTTTACTATTTTGGGCCTTAGTAGTTGTAGACTTTGTAATTATAACCATGCAGTTCAAGTGGACCTTTCAGCTTGACCCAAAAAAAAAAAAAATGGACCTTTGTCTGACTGCTTTTGCAAAGAGAGAAAAACCCTGGTTTTGGGGTATACTTGTGAACTTTGAGGCTTCCTCTTTCCATCATAAACAATATAAAATTTATCGTTACTGTATGGTTAAGTACCGAGCCCTCATCTTATCATATCCTGAACACTTTTAATTTTTTGCACATTATTTCTTCTTGTTGATACTTGCGATCAGAATTCCCGTTCCAACTTTTGACTTTGTGCATGCATGTTTTACCTTAATGATCTTTTATATATTAAGTGACATCGGATCAGAAATTCACAATCCTTGCATCAAGGTTACGAGTACGAGTTCTTTCAGTTAATGAGACACTCCTATTGCACCCCACATACAAACCTGTTATCCAGTGGCTCAGGTAGTGACGGATAACACCACCAAACCCCAGCAAGTCCAGGATTACCAAAGCAATTATGATTGAACCCAAACCAATAAAGCATGGAAATAAGGAAGATCAATATTTATTTATTGATAATAAATAAAACATAGGGAATAATGTTTTTCTGATAGTTCGAGGTACTAGACACCTCCTAAATAATACTCGATATTTTTCCACCTCTCCTCTCTAATTATTTTCTCCTATATTTAGTTTAAGCATCCCTTTTTTAATCCTAATTAAATCCTAAAAACTTAAAGATAAATATCCTAAAAATAAAGATAACAAGTTCCTGAAAATAAATGATAAAGATAATAATATCCTAATAATAAAAAATAATGATAATATTTGGCAAAATAACTGAAAAATAATTATTGCCTAATTCCTTTATGTCTTCCTCCTGTAAACTTGTCTAACAGGGGTCCGCGCCCTATAAAATTACCATTAATGTAAGCATTGGACCTATCATTTCTGCCTTGGAGTTGGAAAATCATGGTACAATGTTGGTGTATGAAAATTCCTATCAATGTTGTAGAAGGGTGCAACTTGCCCCCACAATTTGACCTGTTTGCTCGTTGTTGGCTGTCCATCATTTACACTGCTCGATTAGTTTAGTTATATGCCTCAAGTTTAGGTATATACGTACTTCAGTTAGTTCGATAATGATTAATAAGTCTAACAATTGTTAGAATAAATTTTGATACCATAATTGAGTTTTTTTTTTTTTTTGCCTTATTATACTGGTCAATACGATATTTTCAACACATTTTGCTAAACTATTATCGTTAGAGTTAGATAAATCCTATGGGACTTGTCTATAATTAAGCTTTTTTCATTCAATATTTGTTAATAAAGTTATTCACAATATTGAGTGTGGGTTGATCTATGTTTCTAATATCGAGCTAATCATTAATGAATGGATCTTGAGCTACATGCAATTATGCTTAGTGAAAAATGTATATATATTGGAACTTAGTTTAATAATAAAAAATAATATTTTATTAATTTTTAAAAATCAAATAAATTCTTAAAAAACTAACTTTCATTCTATTTTTCTTTTGATCAAAAGATATTTATTTTATTTCTTAGTTATTTTTCTTATATTTCCCTTGTATTTCTCCTACTCACTGCGAAATAGGGTGTTAATGCTAGTTTTTCTTGCGCTTGAGAAAATAGTCTTAAAAAAATCTAACATGTTATTGAAATTTTGTTAAAAGATAATAAAAAGAAAAGTAATGGGCTGGTGTCGTTGTTGTATTGTTTCTGGAGCGAGGACCACTGAATCTTAAACTGGTTTGAATAGATGGCAATAAAATCCATTCAATTTTGCTTGCGACAAGTTTCAGTAGAGTTCATCCCATACACTAATTATTGCTCTCCTCCTAAACTCACGCCAAAATATTCGCAGTAACTCTCTTTAGGTGGGTGATACTAATTACAACCCACACTTTTCACAGGTCCCACATTCTTTTAACCCCACCGGTAATATGTACCGTTTCATAATGAAATCAATATAAAAAAAACCTACCCTTTTTGCTATTCCATCCAATCACTTTAATCGCTACTCATCTGGTTCTGGTTCTGGTTCAACTTATATTTTATTTCTGACACATACTTCTCCAAGCTTCCTATATGAATCATTCCACATTTCTCATACGTACCAATAGTATTTGTGCATGAAATTGGTTCCACTTCCACCGTCTACCTTTCTCCCTCAAAACCCATCGATATCACACATGTGATGATGTGAATGCCATTAGGCGTTACAACTGGCCAAGTCAGTCCATTTCTTTTAATTAGATTTTGAGCCATTTTAGTGGAGTATAATTTTAGAGCGGTCAAGACTTGGAAGATTTCCATCATGATAATGATTTTTTTTTTTTAATATAACAAAATTAATAATGTGTTGGATTTGGAACATATGGTGATTGTATTTATGGTGTAATAAGTACACTAGCTAGTGGGCTGTTGTCCCATCAATGAAATTAAATATGGCCCATAATAGAAAGCGGGTTCTTTGGATAGAGGCATGGGGGTTGAGCGACACAGGATTTAAATACTGTTCTGCAGCCCCGAATTCAAGGACCTTGGAAAACCAAATTCTTGGCTAAGGATCAACCCAAGATAAAGACAAAGCCATGTTTGTTCCTGTCCTCGAAAACTTTTTTTTTCTTTTTAATGAAATTATTCAGAACTAACAAGTTTTGGCAGTGCAATTAGCCGAGTTGGTAGATTAATACATGAAATACAATAGGTTAAGTAGGTTGATTAAACATGTTCATTTTGTATTAGAATTGTCAAATTGATAGGCGTTACTTATCATGGTTTGTTAGTTTTTGTTATTTAACATTAGCATATCTAGGTGAATAACTTGTCAATGGTTCTAAGACGATCCATTGTGTGTTTATTTGGGGGAATAATTTGTTAGTTTGCCTTAGATTTAAAAGCATCTCCAATAGGTTTACTTCACTCAGTTCTTATGAATTTTTAACTATCGAAATAAATGGATAGTGTTCTTAACAAAAATAAATAAATTGATTGTTAATAATAAATAACTTTTAATAATTAAAATATTTTTTACCTTAAAAATTCAACAAAAAGTAATGTTAAAAACTTTTGTACTCCATCTATACCTATATATAAGTACAAAAATATATATTTAAATTTTTAGACTGAAACTTAAGTAAATTTCAATGAAATCAATATTATTTAATATTTTTAATTCAAAAGTATTTTCATAATAATAAATAAGAATACTATTTACGTAAATATAATTAATAATATTTTAGATAATATAGTGTATATTTTATATGAAGTTGTGAAACTTAAATGTATTTCATAAATTTTTTAATCTATGTAAATCTGATAAATTTTGATTATATATATGTGGAAAGGGAATATTAGAGTTAAATTTTATTGAAACTCTTAAATTTGAGATGATATAGGATCTACAAAAATAAGCTAGAGAACATTTAATAACGTTAACATTAAAATTGTCCCATGACAATTCAATTCTTAATTTAATGATAATGAAAGAAAACATAAGACTCTCGATGGATATTAATAACTTCTTCGTTTGAAGTAAAAATAACTTAATGCAGCTTAAATAATGTGGCGCAAGTGTAGAGTTGACAAACCAATAAAGTCGTTGGATAAAACAAATATTATATATATATATAAGCACTATCCATTTTATCAAAATATCATTGTTTGAATGGGAAAAATATTTAATGAAAATGTTTAAATATCGACAAAAAAATATAAATAAGCTAACAACAATTAGATTAATGCACCTCTTTATGGTGGTTTCTTACTAATTTTTCTTTTATTGTTGGAGTTGAAGTGAGAAGGGGAAAAAATTAAGTTAAGAAAATTTTCCTTAAAAAATGGAAAGCGAAGAATTGGAAGAGAAAAAAAATAATATATATATATATATATATAATTTTTTATTTTAATAATTTTAATACTAAGTAATATATTAATTTTCTTTATAGAGGATTATCTCTAGAAATATTTTAATTATTGTCCAAATTTAGAATATTCAAGAGTGTAATTTGTCTATTTTTATTTTAATAATTTTAATGCTAAGTAATATATTAATGTTCTGTATTGAGGATTATCTCTAAAAATAATTGTAATTATTTTTTAATTTAGAACATTCAAAAATGCATGTAACTTCTCTATTTAAGTCGTAAAGTTCTCATATATATATATATATATATACTGGAATCTTATTTTGAGTATGAATCTCTCTACTTCTTACTATGATATATATTACTTATTATAATTAATTATTTCACAAATCATAATATTTATGACTATTAGTGTGTGACTCATAGATCATGGTTATCTAATGTTTCGTAATTAATTGGTTGTTAATTGAATGTCATTCTAGTGGTGGCATGGGGATTAGATTAAAGTTAGGAGTACCAAGTCATGAGGTTTGATTTTAGAAGTATAAGCCACTTACTTGCTAGCGGACTTGATCAATTAGAGTCATGTGTCCTGATTAAGTATCATCGAATAATTTGATTAAGTATCATCGAATAGTTGTAAACTTAAAAGATATATAACTTTCTTAACTTAAATACTTAAGTATAAAAAGATTAACAGATTGATATAGCCGGTCGAAATAATACACATAAGATTATAATTATATAATATATATATAAAATTATTATTTTTATTAAAACATTGTAAAAAAAATTATAAAAATGATACAATTCTTTTACTCATTTTAAAGTGGACAAGATTGAATAAAGGTCATTATTGCCTGGGGGTGTAATAATGAATAATTGGAAAAATAGCAACAAATAAAGTATGGACTATGTAGCTTTCAACAAATAGAAAAAGAATGGACTATGTAGCCAATTGCGTATTATTATATGTATGAAAGAACTTAAAGGTCAACGACAAAAAATCAGGCGCCGCTACCACCACTTTTTAAATACCTATTGCCTATTGCTGCCTTCAACTTCCATAAATCTAAATGATTGTGTATTCTCATATTTCAAAACATATCCTCAACAAAATATTTCAACAACATTAACATTTAAGTGAAGAAAATGAAAAGCATGTGAGAGATACTCCTAGTCCTACACAATTAGTGTAGCATGCATTATTAATCGTGACGATTGTTCATAATAAAATATCTCGTCCAATAAAGTTAACATAGCATTCGAACTTGCAAGTATTCTACTTCCACCGGGGTCACGAGTTCAAACTACTATTTTTTTTTATTTAAAAAAAATATAACTTTTTCTCATCAAATTAATATTTATAAGAATATAAGAATAAAGTGATATTTTCAATGATAATTATATATTTATGTCTTGTTTGATTAAGAGAAAATACATCAAAAATAAAATGGATAGAATGAAAATAAGTGATATTATTTGATTAAGAAAAAATAAGGAGGTGAAAAATTAAAAGATAGTGAACTCCACTTCTTTTATATATTATTTCTCATCTATTTTTTTTTTCTTCTTCTTTTTCAAATATACGCTTAAAATAAAAATCAAATTATGATCATTGATAGAAATAAAACTTCAATCCTCAATTAAATAATATAAGTGTACTAACCGTACTTCGCACTCGGGCTAACCCGGATTAGTGTTGCAAATAAGTAACCCCGAGCACGCGGTGCATGACGTCAGCCAGGTATTTGAGCGAATCATACCTGATTCCGAGGATCTCGTCCCAGACCAGATCCGCCCTTCAATTATATCATATCATATCATGATATATCTTATCTCAAGCCCAAAAGCCCAAGGAAAACCTAGATCACCTCAAGGTACGTGCATTATATATATGAGACTATTACTTGTGCAAACCCTAACTTTGGCATCGGAGTCTCTTTTACAGGTACCTCCCCCATCTTGGAGCACCAATACATCAGCAAAGGAGGCTCACCGATCTTACCCGGCGGATCAGCTCTACAGCAGATTTCCGGTAAGAACAATAAGTATTAAGTTATTTATTATTATAATACTTTTTTCTCATATATATATATATATCTATATATATATTTAAAAATTATCTCGGAACACTTTTAATGTGGAATGATATAAGAGATTAAAGATGAAAAATTAATTTTCTATCTTCTTTATAATCATAGTTTTGATATTCCTTAAAGCTATTGAGATTTGGACATTATTACCTTCTTCATCTATCATTACTTTTTCGTTATCAAATTGTTTAAAAGAAAAAGTGAAATATTAAAACATTTTTATTTTTTGGTTTAAAATGTCTACTTTACCTTGGATTTAAAATTATTTTTTTACGAATCCATCGGAAGTCGTATGAATAGTTTTATTTTTACCAGAAATGTTAAAACAGTTTATATTGGGAGATGGATTGTAGAATGTGGTGAAGGTTAGTAGAGTAATATTGTGTGTTGGGTTTGGTGCTTATCTAGTTTTATAGTGTGACTGTGAGTGGCTTTGAATTGGTAGAAAGGTGTTTGTGCATTTTGTGTAGGTGAGGGTGTTTTTTCCTACAAGTGGGACCTTCCCATCAGAATGTTGGCCTCCTTCTTTCCTCTTATGTAATTTCGCCTTCTCACTTCTCATTTTTAAATTATTCGATCATTTTTTTTATTTTATTCTTTGAAATTAACGACGCCACGCCAGAGTTGTAATGCCACTTTGGTTCACCTTTCTATATACGCACGCACGTCCTAACAAATTTTCACGTCCAAATGTTATGGTTAAACAAAACTTACAATTTACAAGGAGTTGCTTCCATTTAACGTTAAAAATCACGTTACAAAATCCAACCCAAACTTATATGGTAGGAGGGGGAAGAAGTTGTAGTTGTAGAGAAGTACACATAGCTAAACTATGGCCATCTTTACGTGTAGTTTGGTGTTATGTTATAAATAAATTATTTTGGTTGAGGCCTGCTGAATGCTGAATGCTGAATGCTGAATGCTGAATGCTGAAGGCTGAATGCTGAATGCTGAATGCTGAATGCTGAAGGCTGAATGCTGAATGCTGAATGCTGAATGCTGAAGGCTGAATGCTGAATGCTGAATGCTGAATGCTGAAGGCTGAATGCTGAATGCTGAATGCTGAATGCTGAAGGCTGAATGCTGAATGCTGAATGCTGAATGCTGAAGGCTGAATGCTGAATGCTGAATGCTGAATGCTGAAGGCTGAATGCTGAATGCTGAATGCTGAATGCTGAAGGCTGAATGCTGAATGCTGAATGCTGAATGCTGAAGGCTGAATGCTGAATGCTGAATGCTGAATGCTGAATGCTGAAGAGAAGAGAAGAGAAGAGAGTGTTAGGGGTATGACTTATGAGCTAAGGTAGTCTATGTATGTAAATGTAATGTTGTGTTGCGGTCAAAGTGAATTCCAGCTGGACCTGCCTTTCCGGAAATTGCGTTAATTCATGTCATAACCAATCGTCTCCTAATTTTTCACACTTTTCGGTCAACCTCCATATTTAATGCACTCTAACTTTCTTTCTCTTTCTATTTTCTTTTTATTTTAATCTCTTAAATTTAAATTTTATATTTTTACTTTTTATAATTGAACTATTTAGATAAAAAAAATTTGTTAGATCAAACAAAATCCATTAAACATGTAATTTTATGGGCCTTTTAAAAATTTAAGGAAATTTTTTTAAATATAATAAGAAGATACTTTATTTTTAAAAATTATATAAAGAATATGATTATTTAGTTACAATTACAAAAAATAATTTTTATATTATAAATTAGTTATAATTCTATATTTTTTTAAATCAGTTGTATATATATATATATATATATATATATTTGCATGTCACGTCACGTCACATAGTTAGTCGATTAATCCAATTGACAACCATTGATTTTATAAATTAGTTTTGTTTGTGATAAAGAAAGCATGTGAATTGGATGGTCATGTTATGTGTAAACTTGCTGAAATAATTGTTGATGGTTAAGTTGAATGCAAAAGATGGGAAATTAAGGAGTGAAAGTGAAAATGAAAGAAGCAATTGCAGGTGTAGGGCATGGGAGTGTGTTGCAAAATGAGAAGGGTGAGTATGTGGTGAAGATGTAAAAACGAGGGTTGATGGTTGGGTTTGTAAGGAGCAATAGAGCGCTTTAGTATTAGTACAGAACAAAACGTGCCCCACTTTTAAGAAAAAGAGATCCCCAAAAGCATTTTCAAGATTAATTTTCAAAAAAGAAAAAGGAGCAGTACTGTACATCATAGGCCTCGCCTCACAAATCCCCATAAAGTTTTCTTATAAATTTTTAGAGGGTAGGCCCTCTCACGCCCCCATCATTTCTTCATTTTTCCTCCTTTTAACAACTTTTTTTTAATATTAAATAAATAATATCTTATATACCGCCACACTAATACTATTTTTATCTCACTTTATTTTTTTTAATTATTTTTTATTTTTTAAATTTTGAGTATATTTTTTTTCTTAAATTTAAAATTTATTTTTAAATTTTTATAATTTTAAAAAAAATTATTTTAATCTTTCAAATTACAATAAAATACCTACCAGTAACATATTAAACAATTATACAATATTAATCAGATTTAGTGTGATATTTTTATTAATAAAAATGTTGATAAATAAATTTTATACGATAGTATTTTATTCATTAACAAAATTTAGTCATAAGAATTAAAGTATATTTTTTTAGATTATATAAATTAAAAATTAATTTTAAATTATAAATGAAAAATAAATTTACCTTTAAATTTAATAAATTAAAAATGTATTCAAGGCTTTATTTTCTATCAAATAGATAGCTTTTCACTTTTTTCTTTTCTTTTTCACCTTTATTTTTTTACCCAATCTACTCCAATGTGTAAGAAAATGAGTAGTTCTTATATATGATACTCATATAGACCCTTTCATAAATATATGTGGAGGCACAACTACCATTTATCTTTTAGTACAATGAATTCTATTAAACTCTTCTTAGGATTAAAATATCTTCCATAAACAGAATTTTTTCTACCGGAGTTTACATAATAAAGGCAGTAATTAAAGCATATACTAAATGAGTTTATGCATAAAATTGCAACATAAATATTGTATTGTTTATTATAATAAATTGAAATAATTTGATATTTTTTATATATTAAAAAGTGTATAGCATGGGAAAATAAACAAGATCGACTAATATAACATGCTATTCCATTAAGTATAGATTCACACGTCAATTACGATTAATCTTTTTATAAAAAATGTTAGATATTTTATAATATTATAAGTTTATGTTAATTTTTGTTTTTTGGCAATAATTATGTGTTGAATTGTTTTGAAGTGTAATTGAGAGACTTTGAGAATTAAGTTTTTGGGTGTTTTAAATAAGTTATATGGACAGAAGTCTAATTTAATCTGAGAACGAAAGTATAAAAAATTTGTTAAAAATCAAGTTTCAGAAGTTTAATTTTTTATAATCTTAAAAAAATAAGTTAGAAAGAAACTCTTTGAAGTCCATAAGTCTTTTTTCTTCTTTGAATCTCCTCTCTAGAGGATGATTTATATGTGTGAAATCTTTTCTCAAATTAAAGATAATTAATGATATAAATTCTAATAATATTGTGGAAATAAATTGATTTGTATTCTATATATTATTATATTATAATTTAGAGAGAATTCTTGAAGCTTTGTGATACAACAATACATGTCATATCGCACACATTTTCGATGTACTACACTTTTTATTTTTTATTTTTTATTTTGTAAACGACCGGGGAACTAAGCTCTTACACCTTATTTTGTAAATAAACTAAGGAAACTAGTTTTATAAAAAATTAAGTATAGAAGTTAATTTTAATTATAAAAAATAAATTTTATTATCTTTTAATAAATATTTATTAAAAGTATTCAAATAAAACAAAAAGCACTTCAAACTCGAGCAAGCATTGCACTTAATTGAATGACCAATTTAGACCCAATGAATTAACAAACAGTCAAATAATACATATCAATAATTGATGACTTCTTTTTTGTCCCAGAAGATTAACCAGTGATGCTTAATTAAAGTAGTAAAGCATGATTGCTGATTCCAATGTAAGTCCTACACG